AAGGAATCCTTTTAACAATGATACAATAGGACGATTATTAACAAAGAATAAATAGTATTAGACAGTTGAAAAGAAGTGAGAGTACTGAGTAAAATTGAGTGAAAAAAAGGTATTAAGTTAGAAACCTTCTTTATGGTATATTTCTTAAGAGTGATTAAATTTTCGTATTATGTAATGTATAACTAAACGGAAGTCAATATTTAAAATTGTTCGTACATTTAATATATTAATGTGACATAATAACTAATTAAAGAATGGTTAATAATTAATTTTATAAATTTTACTAATTAATATTATTTCTATCAAATGAATTGAACATATTATAATCTGATCTGTTAATTATCAGATTTCTTCGTTAAGAAAAGGATATTTTCCCTAGGGGAAAAGATCGAGTTGTACGGGCTTATACCAACACGATTTTTTCAAGATAATTAACAAATTATTGAGGAGGGTCAACAGCACCTTTTCCGTTACAGAATTTTACCAACTGTCCGATTGAAAAAATAATGAGAGTGTACTCTGTACGATAAAAGAAAGTGGCTCATATTTATGTTAATATGTGACTTTGCATGTTACATGCAAGTCGGTTTCATGGAAGGTGGCACGAGGTGGTTCACCCTTTCACGGAACATACCATTGCACAGAAAGGTTCCATGCGCAGTGTGAACATAAGCGCGCCTTGCCATTAATGCACTATTTACCTCGACAAAATTTAGTCTGACCAATGTTCCAAGTCGAACGGTTTTATCATGTGTACAATTTTCTAATATATTCTGCAACAATCATTTGTTTCCCTCAAACGCACTTCTATTCACTTTTTCGTGTCGCATGTCACTTTCTTACAACAGAAATCGGATTTTAAAACGAGCAAGGCGTTCAACTCAAATCCAGTCAACACCAAATAACAAACTGGTGATTTATCGATTCTTATAGAACATCAAAATCATCGGCAACGTGGAATCTTTTTGATTTATAGACATACTCTCGGCGAAAAATTCCTCATACTCAAGGATACCAGTTTTCCTAAATGCGGTCACAACTTTGCCTGGCTCTGTCCCAACAACACAGCTATATCTACGTCCACGAATCCGGTAATCGGGTCAGTGTACCCCTTTGCTTTGCTTCTCCAGTTTGTTCTGTAGATTTAATACACTCCTGCCGATATTTTACAATTCTATAAAGATATCGATTCGCTCCTTCTCTGAGTTCTATTTTAATTATCAAGCTGGAATTGGCGATTTTTTTTGTTACAAATAATTCAAACTTCAAAATTCTCTAACATTTTATGTTAACGACAAAATAATGTTGTAGAGTTTATACGAAAAACCGAGGGGTGGATAAACTTTTTTTACGGTCAAGTGCACTATTGCAATCGTTGAGAACACTCCGCTTTCAACATGGATGCTTTCGTTTATTTCCTCATCGCACAGTATAGACTTTTCATTATAAGAGTAAATAAGATCAGCCAAAATTCATGTTAAATGAATGCAACGAGAACAATGTTGGAAACGATTCGTTAACATTTCGAAAATCGATAAATGGGTCACTTCAGGCTGTTGAACAGTAGCTTGCGTATGTATGTATAATTCGTCTTAACAATTACATCGAAACAACTATGATAATTGTTAATCGCCTTTTTATACACTGGATTCGAGGAAACTTTAATAGGAGCAATTCATTTCTTAGATGTATAAAAGCTTTGAAGTTCATTATAATATTGCAATATTTTTGTACACGAATGAAATATTTATAAATATGGTCACCATAATTTGTGAGAAAGAAGGTTGTCTACATAAATTTCAAGTGCCATTCTCAATAATTATACGAAATAACACTTGATCTGATTTCACGGCGCTGATCGTATTTACATCATTTGTTGTTGATTCAGTAGTTTCACCTCAGTGAAATAGGAGGGCTGAATGAGAATGTATTACTGGTTCGTGTAAATTGTTCTTTTTTAAAATTGAATTATTCCCTTGCCGATGATTATCTGATGATATCGCGCAAATCTGGGACGAAAAATAGAATGGCAATAATCGAGCAACTTACTTTGCTTCCTAGCTTTCGTAGAACCTCCGTGAAATTTCGTGTTGCTTCACCACGTAAAATGAACAGCGTCAGAAGAATTGATTTTCACGAATAACGGAACATCGGGCTTCTTGATGAGAAGAATTCCACTACGAACCGAGAATCCCGCACCGTGAGATTGTTTCAACGGGGTGGTGGTTCCGCGAGTACTGCGCCTCCGGACGTTAGTATCCTAATCGATAAACCACCCTTCGAGCCACCCACTCGACTCTCGGTAAAGGTACGGTCACACCGACGCGACGATCACGTGGACCCCGGTACGTACACGGTACATTCACACGACATCTTACAAAACTGTCCTTGCTCTACATTAACCTAGTGCTGGACCATTCGATAATTTCTTCAGAAACAGTCAGTCTAGCAAGTTTCGACCCTTTATCTTGACCGGGAAGTTAGTTGCAAGAGAAAACCGAATTATTACATTTTATTCTACATTTGATGTTTGCTCCCGTTCCAACATTCTGACAAATAATTCTGAAAATAGTAGATACGGGGGTATACGATGCTTCACTTGAATATTTTCGTTAAGGATACACGTGTATACTCACGCTGCTACTGGCCTGAACAACGTTGGGTTTGGGGAAGGTCTATCATTGCATCCCGATTTATACTTATGTTAAGCTTTCTAATTAAACCAGAGAGAACTGGATACACACAATAGTTATTATTATCTTTATATATATATATATATAACAGTAAAATCTTAATACGAAACAGCATTTCATGTTTCTTTGTTTTTTCCTATGAGACACCCATGAAACAAGTGAGTTGAGGGTTGCGACCTTCCTACACATCAGCGCCAACTGGCCCCGGGGACTCAAATCTGTTGTCGGTAATGTCGGCATTATATTTTTCAATATTTACTTATTTAAGGTCTAAGGGGTGATGGAGACACATGGATTTGTCAAGACACTTTCCTGGTTCCATTCGCAGCGGCAATTATTGTTGTATCATGTTTTTACGCAACGCAAAAACTTTGATTTATGGTCTTGTTTTTTTTCTTCATATGAAAAGGACCCGCGTGCAGCATCTTGATAGAACGTACATGCGGATTTTACGTTCATTTATGGATGCTGTAAACATCCAACTGTATTCTCGAGGAAATGTTCAAATTTTCTACTCATTTTTTACACTTTTAAACAAACATTCAAACTTTAAACAAACAAACATTCGGAAAGAAAATTGGAAAGTCTCTTGTCGGTGATTTTTGGAAACTCTAGACAGATTGATTTAATGTTTGAAACTGAACTCCTTCAATTACTGTGAGATGGATTTTATTCACTAAATTCTTTGTATTGTATATTTTGATTTGTACTTTTATACTTAAACTTAGAGTTTTGTATTCGGACTTATAATAACGTTCAATTTTAAAATTAAAAGCGTACAGAAATGTCAAAGCACGTAGTTTTCTTAATATAGTGAAAGTGATATCATTTAAATTTTCATAATCCCGGTACTTCCTATGTTGAAGTAAGATTACCGATATACGGTAGCTATACTATAAGATCACTTTTAAAGTTATTAGATTTTATAATTTTGCGCAAGTTCTTAAAATTTGTAGACACATGCTGATAAAACAAATTACGACCATCAGTGTTTACGGTCCTAACCACTGCATTGTCATAATTACTGTTTTGGAATTTTTTTGAACCTATAAGAGTTGTGGAGTGGTGAGTGATAGTACAAAACAAAGCAGTTGGTGTTCGTATAAATTCATAAACATATTCATAATTACAACTCACACGTCTGGATGCGAATCGGCATGACGAGTGTGCGGAAGCTATTATTTACAGGACAACCATTCGTTCTTACGACAAAACTAGGACGCTCCGTGTCATGGAACTTCAACTTTGATGAGACCCTTCTTAAACAAAAATTTCATTTTTCACTTACTCCCGCGAACCCTGTATGTTTATTTGACGGTCAGCTTTCTAATAATTGATGATACAGTTTTCTCAAAGAGGACAGTTTTTATGTTTGCTTGTGCGTGTTTTATGGTAAATAAATATCTTAGTGCTAAGTTATATACTGCAATTGTTATGTACTTATGCTTTGTAATTTAAATAACCGTAATATTTTAGATTGCTTTTTATTTAACTAAACAAGAAAACGTGTATTTGTACCACAAAATGTAATGTTTAAGTTTAAATATCAAAAAAAAGGAGATTCAATTAAAAAAAATAATTGCATTTAAGTTAAACAATAAAAAGTTCAGCGAGTCTACTGATAGTTTCTTGTGATATATAGCACACTAAACTTCTTTATGTTTTAATATAATAGCTGAAGAAAACGTACATTTTAGTAATTTCTTTAGGTACATTCTACATACCGATAACTGCCACTATACCGAAGATCGCATGAGTAGCCGTTTCTAAGAAATATGATGAAGGTAAATGTAAATATTGTTGTTCTGAGCTGGAACCAAATGACAGGACATGGGTCGTGGAAGAAAATTAAGTGCCTGTGAAGCACATAGAACTTTTAAACACTGTGGAACACGATTTTTGTTTTGTAATAGCCACTAGGTAGTCCTTATAAAGTTCCTTGCCCTAAACACGAATCCGAAAACCAAATTGCTGGGTCACGTCCAGTTTTCGAAAAAACTGGGTTTTTGTAAAAGCGGTCGAATTTTTCAGAGAACATGAAAACTAAAAAAGATAGGTAGTTAAAATTTATCGCAGAAAATAGAGGAGACTTGCCCGAATACGTAACTATAAAGATTTTGAATTTTGCGTATCATTAAATGTTTGTAAATGATGATCAAAGTTTAAAAAAGTATTGTTCCACAGTGACATTATTTCAAGAAAAGTTTTTTCTAGCAAATATTGCAAAAATGTTAAATAATAGTAGAAACATAATAAATAAATTAGTTAAAAATCCAAATAATTATGGGATAAAAAAAGTTCTAGACGCCCTCCTGTTGTAACATTACGACGAAAGCGTTTAATTTTAAGGATTGCATCTAATTCGAAAATGATTGCTAGAAAAATTGCAGAAAATGCTGGTGTTACAACACATGCAAAAAATGTACGCCGTTTTTACAGCAGTGTAAACAAAACCTGCGTTAACAAATTATCACAAAAGTGTCCGATTGGTATTTGCGGAGAAAACATATTCAATTGAAGAAAAACTAGAGAAAAATAGTATTTACCGAGGAAAAAATATTTAATAGATATGGACTTGACGGTTTTAATTATTACTACCATGATTTAAGGAAAGAAAATCAATTATTAAGCCGTCGTGAAATGGATGGTGGCAGTCGTGATTTCTATCGTAATAAAAGGTGGCATAGATTACCATGGAAACACGGATGTCAAATTG